CTGAGATTCTTAAATGATTGTCTTGTATACAGCATCTCGTATGTGGGTATTTTTATGGCAGCGGGGTGAGGAGGAATTTTTCACTGTTTTCACAAAGAATAGCAGTCATTTGGGAACATAGAGACCTCAGAAAATGCAAATTCTGACAATGGAAAATCTTTTCCACTGACTAACTTTTTATTAAACGACAGTAGTGGATCCCAACCCGGTCTTAGGTTGCAAATCATTTGTCTAAAGATGGCATTATTCAGTGACAAAAAAGCACATTTTAAAAGCATTGCCTTTCTCAGTAGGCCTTGAACATCTATAACAAAAACAAAATTATTAGCAACAGAATTAAGTTAGAATACCAGGTTTCCATTTCTCTATGACCATATATTAAATTTCTAATGGGTATGCTGTTTCTTCTAAAACCCATAGGCTCCAGGAGGCCATGAGTTAAGTTGTGACTATTGGGAACTTATTGGTCTGGCTCCAGCTGGAGGGGCTGATAACCTGATCAATGAGGAATCGGATGTTGATGTGCAGCTTAACAACAGATATATGATGATCCGAGGAGAGAACATGTCCAAAATCTTCAAGGTGCGCTCTGTGGTCATACAGTGCTTCAGGGATCACTTCTTTGACAATGGATATTATGAAGTAAGTGTGTGTTCCTTTGTTATAAATTGGTTTTATATAATCTTTCCTTCATAGCCTGAGTGGTGCTTCTGGATGTACTATATAAACTTTGATGTTGAACTGAAACTAATTTTTGTCAATTTCAGACCACTTCGGTTTTTTTAGATATTATTCCCACCTTAGTAATGAAACTTTGTTTAACAGATCACTCCGCCGACACTTGTCCAAACACAAGTTGAAGGAGGCTCCACTCTGTTCAAGCTGGATTATTTTGGCGAAGAGGCATTCTTGACCCAGTCATCCCAGCTATACCTGGAGACTTGTATCCCTGCATTAGGAGACACATTTTGTATCGCCCAGTCATACAGAGCTGAACAGTCCAGAACACGCAGACACCTGGCAGAGTATGGGAATAATTTTAGTAAAAGTATGCATGTATTTAGAGATCAAAGGAGAAGCAGTTCAGAATAACCGGCTTTACAAAAAGGAAGGTAGAGCATTATACTAATAAGCAGTGTTGTGACCAGAGCTACTTTGGAAATGGCCTGTTCTCAAGGTCAGTAAGTGGGAGGCAGGACATTAGAGGTGACTTTCTGCACCTGAACAAGTTGGAGAAGAGGAGTCAATGGATTTTATTGAGCTTCTGCTGAAATATACTGTGGAAGCCATTGTGTAACTTTGTGGAAAGAATAAGGTTATAAGCTCAGAGCTAGGGAGGGAGCAAAATGGAATAGTGAGGGGAAGTGTCTTCATTTGGATGACTTAATTGAGTTACCTTGTTCTTCAGATATACTCACATTGAAGCTGAATGTCCTTTCATGACCTTTGAAGACTTGTTGACCCGTTTGGAAGATTTGGTGTGTGATGTAGTGGATAGAGTCTTGAAATCATCTGTATCAACCTTTCTACATGATCTAAACCCGGTATGTGATGGTGTGGCTAGCAGTCCTCAATAGTCACTTCTGTTTGGTGAGAAATGTCTTAACGTCCTTCAGAAACATAGCCTCGCCTTTTTTGGTGACCTATTTGCACTGAATGATATCAAAAGGTGTCTAGCCTCTGCAAGACTGATACCTACATCATGTATTGGTAGAGATGGTGGTTTGTATCTTAGTCTCGGGATAAACTGTTGTTTGAATTCCAGAAGTGCCTAGGAGCCCCATTCAAAGATCATGTAGACTTTTTATTTTATTTAAAGTGAATCTGGTGATACACCATCATGATTTCAGCTCTGGTTGTAGGAACCTTGTAGGAACACACAAAGTCCAAGGATAATGACCATAGACATGATCTCAAGTACAAAGTCTGACTGTACTACAGATTTTATTAAGCAATAAATTACAATTACCTATGCATATAAAAATCCGACAAACTTATGCAATAATTGTAGTCATACTCATATCCTCAAAGGTATTTTTAAGGTCCAATGGATCTCTTAATAGATCATTACTGGAAGCATGGTTCCTTCTGGGGTTGGTGAGCTCATCCTTCCGTTTTCCCACTTTTACCCCGTAATGGAACCCTTTTTTATAGTTAGCTAACCATACCAAATGCCTTATTCATATGTTTGAAGGTGTCAAAAAGTGATGAATGTATAATAGGTACATAAGTAAAGAATGACTGGGACACAAGGCCTACAGGATGAGGCTTATAAGAGACTTCAAGTATCTAAAAGGGTATTACAAGGAGGACGGAGAAAAATTGTTCCCTTTGACCTGTGAGGATCGGACAAGAAGCAGTGACCTTTAAGGGCAGCAAGGGAAGTTTAGGTTGGACATTAGGAAAAACTTCCTGTCAGAGTGGTTAAACACTGGAATAAATTATTTAGGGAGATTGTGGAATCTCCATCACTAGATATTTTTAAAAGCAGGTTAGGCAGACATCTATCAAGAATGATCTAGTGTGCAGCTGGACTCTGAATACAGACAGGGAATAAATCTGAGTAGGAAGATGTTTTATTTTTTTTTAACCTGATTACTTTCCCAACTCTAATGGCACTTATGAGAAGGAAATGACCTTTTAAAAAACACTAATGTTTGTGTTTATCTAATCTTCCATTGCAGAACTTCCAGCTCCCCAAACGCCCTTTCAAACGAATGAATTATACAGATGCCATTACATGGCTAAGGGAGCACAATGTGAAGAAGGAAGATGGCACTTACTATGAATTTGGAGAAGTAAGACTCTCTTTTGTCCCCTTTATTCTTTTGATATCTTAAGAAGTTGGAGCTCAACTCTGGAAGTGTATTGTACTTGTGTTTTCTCTTTAAATTTGTGTGATTGGATCAAAATGCAATGCATGCCAATAGTGATTTTTATAAAATACCTACTTTTTTTTTTAAAAATATATGGCCTGGTCTTTTAGCTGTTTAAGGACAGTGTTGATCAATGGGCCAGGATTTCTTTAAGTCAAAGTCTTTTGTCTTCCTGAATACTGGGTTTCAGGATTTTGTTTCTAGTTTGGAGATACGTGGAGGGAATGTGGCCTTATAAGATGCTCTGAGCCTGAGGATCCATAGGGAAATCCAAATGAATCTTGGGTGGATCAGGAAACCTATTGTGGACACACCTAACCCCCTCTCCCTTGCATTTCCTCATGTGTTGTGCTACCATTCTCCTGCAATTGTTTGATAGAGCAGAATAAGTGAAAGGAACAGATGCCACTGGATGTGAAAAGAAGCCTGCCTCATTGGTAAAACAAATTAAAATAAAATGTTTGGCAAAACAATATTGTTTTGGTCAAAATATCAGTCAAAAGGTCAATTTGGATTTTAAAATTTTGGTCTATTTTAGAGAATTGAGAAATTTGATTAAAACATTTTGGTCAAATTGTATTTAGGGTATACAGTATTTAAAAAAGTAAGTTAATGTTGGAGAAAATTTATTTTGCTTTTTTAAAAAAAAAGCAGCAAAAATAGTATTTTCAGTCAATCAGGACATTTTGGCTTCATAAAATTTTTGAAATTGTATTATTTTGGTCCCAAAAGCTTTTGATCGAAAAGCCAGACACATTTGGGTCAAACTTTTCGGTGAACAAGTCCAACCTATCCCTTTTCTTTTTACTGGTAATCTATCAAGGGTATTAAACTATGTCTGTTGGGTTTTTTAAATAGTAAAATTGATTAATTAGTTTAAAACAAACTTCTGGAGTGTATATTGCTAGGTGACCTTAAACATTCCTTAGTAACTTAAAAATTAAGAAGTTGTGATGTAGTGGTACATATTATTGGTCTGGTCATTCAAGACCTATATATTGCACATATATACATTAAAGGAAATGCTTAAACAGGTCTCATCAGTAAGACCTACTGCCCATGCAATGTATAGCACACCTAGATTTCAGGGCCACTCCCTTCTCAGTTTCCATGCTGGGACTGGCTTAGTTTTGCCCGGTGTCTTAGTTATTCCTAGCTGTTACCCTTTTTATACACAGTAAATATTCTTATGCAAAACACTTTCACCTGTTGGAGTTTGATTAAAAATGAAAATTGTACATGCACTCCCTTCTTCCCCCCCCCCCCCCCCCAAAAGCCACCTTCATGTCTCTCATACTGTGTGCCCTTTTGTCCCCTATAGATGTCAGGCATAGACTAGTGCTGAACTCAAGCAATGTTTTTGGCCATAAGTGTTAATCATGTCTTGTTTATCCTCAGGATATCCCAGAAGCTCCTGAGAGACTGATGACTGACACCATTAACGAACCAATCTTGCTGTGTCGATTTCCTGCAGAAATTAAGTCCTTCTACATGCAGCGTTGTCCAGAAGATTCACGGCTTACTGAATCTGTCAGTTTGCGTCACGCAGTACCCATAGTTTCTTTCTGGGAAGGGGATGGATGCTTGTGTGTGTGAATGCCCAGAAAAATACAATAAATGACTGAGTGTGAGAGTAAAGCAGGATAGGTTTCAGTGAAATATTTTTGCATATATCTCTGCATGGCTTGTTACTTTAATATTTTCTTTTTAAAGCTAAGTGTACACCTACCCTGATAAGAGAAAAGGTCAGCATTTAACTCGGACTTTTATTTAGTCTGATCACACACAAATGCTATATAAAGATCGTATTCAGTTTAATAGTGGGAGGAAAAGAACAGTCTTACAGTTAAAGCACAGGACCAGAATTCAAAAGAGCTGCCTTCTACTCTTAGTGTGTTTGAGGAAAGATTAAAAAGACTGGGATTGGAAAAGAGATAATATGGGGGCATATGATCAAGGTCTACAAAATCATAAATGGCATGGAGAAAGTGAATAGTGGAGTGTTGTTTATCCCTCCACATAACACGGGAACTAGGAGTCACTCGAAAATAAAAGCAACAGATTTAAAACAAAGAAAAGGAGGTGCTTCTTTATACAAGGTACAGTTAGTCGCTGGAACTTGTTGCCATGGGCTATTGTGGAGGTCAAAAGCATAACTGGGTTTAGAAAAGAATTAGCTTACTTCATGGATGGTGGGTCCGTCCATCATTGGCTATTAGCTAAGATGATCAGGGATGCAACCCCATGCTCTGGGTGTCCCTAAGCTTCCAAATGCAAGAAGCTGGGAAAGGACAGTAGGGGTTGGATCATTGAGAATTGCTGCTTTTTGTTGTTCTCTCTGAAGCATCTAGCTCTGGCCACTGTCAGAGACAGGACAGTGGTGCTAGATGGACAATTGGTCTGTCCCAGTAGTGCCATCCCTCCTTACCTTTGAGGGTACATTAATTCATGTTTGTGATGTCCTTAAGGATTCTCCAGCAGAGTGTGCTTTAGAAGTGCTACCATGTTACATTTTTAAGCTTATGATTGTTTTGGGGTTGGGTCGTCTTTTCCTCTAGCAAATAGCTTGTATGTACTAGTTTGTGACCTGTCCTGTCTGTTTTATGTAGGTTGATGTATTGATGCCCAATGTTGGTGAGATTGTTGGAGGCTCAATGCGTATCTGGGATAGTGATGAGCTACTAGCGGGTTATAAGCGGGAAGGTATTGACCCCACTCCTTACTACTGGTATACAGATCAGGTATGTATATTTTACTCCCTGCATGTCAAATACTGAGGGTGTGGCTTTTTAAGATCATACTGAAATAATGGTAAATTAATCTGGACTGTTTATTTTAGAGGGATAAGGACTTTACCTGTGGCCATTTGGTCTATTGTCTTGCCAAGTAGTTGCTACTTGTGGCAAGGTAGTAGTTAGACTACTGAAATTGCTTGTGCTTGCTGCACACAGCCTCTATAAATGCTCTCTGCTTAGAGGCTCCTTTAGTCTGGAAATAGCTAGGCATGTGAGTGTAATTTCCTCAGTCATCGGTCCCTACTTTACCTGTTTGCAAGTCAGTAGTTCCTCTTGGTAGCTTCCAGGTGTACATTTTTTTTAAAATTCACTATCAGCAGAAGTTGCAGGAGAAGGGGAATGGGGTGGAAGGTAAAAAGGGAAAATAAAGGAGCATGTGATGTAAAGAGTTGTCTTTCACCTTCCTTTTTCCTTCCTGCTCCCTCTTTCCAGCTCCTTTATTTTCTGGGTAATAAATATCGGGAATCAGACATGCACACATTCAGTGGAATGAGCCCATTTTAGTTTCTGCATTTGTCATTCAGAATATGAGCCTCTAAATATGATTTTGTTTATCATTCCCACGTAGATGAGTAACAAGCTGAGACTTTTTGCATTTTGTTCCATAGCGTAAATATGGCACATGCCCTCATGGAGGTTATGGCTTGGGCTTAGAACGCTTCTTAACATGGATTCTGAACAGGCATCACATCCGTGACGTATGTCTGTACCCACGCTTTGTCCAACGCTGCAAACCTTAGCTATTGCCTCAGAAGAAATTCAACAGGAAAATCAAAGCAACTTCTAAAATCCTACATGAGGGAGAAATAACAGTTCTCTATGTCATCCTACAGTCCATCTGAAGCAAGCCTGAACCCTAAAGTAGTACAATTTGCGTGAACCCTAAAGTAGTACAATTTTCACCTGAGAAGGTGAAATTGTGCTTATTTGGAATGTTGTATCATTTTTAAAAATGTGAATCTACAGAAAAATTGCTGCTTTGTCATTTTAAAAACACCATCTGTTAGGGGCAGTGCAGCTTTTGGCTTAGAGTTTTTGTATTAGATTGACCTTTGAACCATACAATGTGCAATACTTAATACACAACATTTATTTCTCCTGTGACTTAACACTCAACATGTATGTGTTGTAAAACATTGAGGGCATTTTATTTTCATGTAAAAGTAACTGGGTTGATGTTCCATCTGTTTTGGGGGTGGTTTTGGTAAACTAAAAGGCAGTTCTTTTAAAGTTACAAATATTGTGTGAGAATATTAGAGTGCAGCAGAAATTAATAAAGATGGAATTATGTAAATCTGTTAGAAATACAAAGTTAGAACATTTGGGTCCAATCCTTCTCTTACCTAAGCAAAACTCTCACTGTGGTCAGTAAGAGAGGACAATGTGCTCAGTCTTACAAACATAAAAAGATCTTCTGTCTTTTGACAAAGTTCATTAACTTGGAAATGATGGCTTCAGCTCTGTAAAGAGCAGAGTACCCTCCACTGCTTTGTGTCTGCCAGGGACCAGTGGTCTACACCATGCAGGACTGAGCCCTTTAACAGGACCAGCCATTGTACTGCCTACATGATGAAAAGTGAGGTGGGTGTGTTTTAAAATGCTGTCTGGCTTCTCCTATACACCAGCATGGTCACTGATACAGTTCTGTAACTTTGTAACTGAAACTCTTAAAGAGGATGTTAATCCAAAGCCTATAATTCTGAAATTAATCTAAGGAACATATTTTCTTAGGTCAGTAATTTCTTGTCTCCCAGATAGCTTTTTACTGACTAAAGTTTGGGTAATGGGGCTTAGTGTACTGTTTCTGCTCCTCTGTAGGTTCCCTCAACGATTGTAATCAAATTTAATTATGAAGTGCTTTGAAATGTCTGAATACATTTTAGTGCTAAACTAGATAAATTTTACTGGAACAAATAGTAGGTGGATTATTTGAGACCTACTTTGATACCTGCCTTGAGACCTAGTCTGGACTCTTCATCTACACTGTACTTGCAAACTGTTAAAATTCTCATTTCTATAGCAAACCTTTGATTTTTTTTTTCCTTTTAGAATTTTGCATGTTGCACAATATCAGTCAGTCCAATCTACCAATCAATAAATGTATCATAATATAAAGAATGTTGTGAGGGTAATAACTTCTGCATGGTTTTATTTTTGTACTTCTCATTTGTTTCCTACTGCCACTTTATTTCCTTCACACCTACACAGGAAGACTCTGGAAAGTTGAACTGAATTAGCTAATGGTGAGAATTTAAAGCACATTAATTAAAGTGTGCATTAAACCTCCTGCTCTCACTCAGAAGTAAAACAGCATTATTTGCTTAAGCTTAATCTAGGCATATAATCGAGTAGTCAAGTACTCGACTGCCCAGTAAAGCTAAGCTGATCAGGTAGTCGATTCAAGTACTCGACTTCTCACCCATATCTTACCCCCACTGCCTCTGTATAAGAGACAGCAACTGGAGGGAAACAGGAGCTGGTGCTGGGAGGAGCCACTTTAAAAGCTGGTTTCTCCGCCACCTTCCCAAGCACTGTCTCTGCATTGCATTGTCTCCAGGCTAGCCACAGACGGGCTGTTGGACCCAGTGCGAGCCGGGACCAAGCAGTCCTGCCTCATTATGATCTGGGACTGTTGTGGCTCTGTATTTTAAATGTTGTAAGAGCTGGGCGACTTACTACATTTTAAATGCAGAGCTGCAGCGGTCCAGAGCCACTGTGAGCTGGGACTATTTAGTCCCGGCTTGTGTCTGCTCCGGGAGCTGCACCCACTACATCTTTGCAGAGCGGCTCTCCTTATCGTGTAGTTGATACAATTTGTATTGACTACACAATTAGCCAAATAATTGCTCCTTAACATCCTTAGCTTTATTTGGTCATCTGAAGAAGTGGGCTGTGGCCACAAAAGCTCATGATACCCTCTACATGTTTTTAGTCTATAAAGTGGCACCAGAGCATTTGTTTAAGTTTATCCTAACAGACTAACTTGGCTGCCCCCGAAGCTTCTAAACAGAAGTTGTACTGATCATGTCATTCATTTTCTTTTTAAATTAATTTAAAACACTATGCTTTGACAAAAAAATGAAACTGAGTTTTCACTCAGCCACACAAATGTCGTAAATAGTTTCCCGGGCCCTTTGCTGCAAAATGTAGGTCTAGCTTGGTGTGTGCCCTTATTTACAGATTGTACCTCCCTTAACTGGGACACTCTGGTCTGGCAACATCCATGGTCCGGCAGGACCACAGATGTTCCTGGATTGCAGAGCCCAGGTATAAGGAG